GTGAAGTCTAGAGAAAACTTTTTTTCTGAACAAGGTCACAAAATACTTTTATATTATTTAGGACACTCATGTAGGATTACACAGAACAATTCTTTGATGCCAGCAGTATAAAAATGTCCAAAGATTGCTCCACCTTTTTAGAGTTAATACTACAAATTCCTTTCCTCCCCAGATATGCTAGCATCATTTCCAAAAGTTAATCTTTCAGTGCAGATTACAAAACCCTTTTCATTGACTCAGTCTTACTCTGATAAAGATAGATCTCTCCTCCCATGTTCCAAGAAAACTTTGTCTTAAAATAAGAATAAATTGCATCTCTTTATTTAGAATCCTGAAATTTTTGTAAAAGCTTCTCCCATCATTTTCTTATTCTTTAATTTTAATCCTTTTTAGGTGAAAGCGCTTTCCTGGATTATCAGGTTCTACTTACGTGGTTTTATAATTCACTACCGTTAATCCAGCTTCTTCAACACCTCTGAATTAGACTGCTCCAGCCCTCTCCTATGCTTTCCTCTTTTGGGAGGGTTCTCAGGATATACAGGACTATCACGGCATTGGCAGCACACCTGGTCTACCTATAGGAGATGAAAAAAGTAATCAAGGGAAGCACTTCTCTTCAGGAAATTCTTTAAAAAGTAGACCTACTGTGCCTTGATCCTTTTCACTTTACTTCTCTGGGGCTAAAGGGAGGGCCTTAAATTTGCTTTTGAGTGAAATTAGCACCATGAAATGAATCACAACCTAGTGTGTATAAGTTAAAGGGCATGGGTTTCAAAACCTAAAAGACCAAAGTTTAAAGCCCCACTTTGCCACCTGCTAGTGATTTGATTTTGGGGAAGTCAATCTCTAATAGGCTTATTTTAGTCACCCGTTAAATGGGGAGAATGTTGCCTCTCGAGGCTATTATGAGCATCTCCTGTGATGCATAGAGAGGACTTAGCTTGGCACACAGTAAGGCCTTAGTAAATATAGCCATTTTATTATCTACTCTCTCTTAAACTCTTTAGCTACTAGTACCCCAGACCTCAACAGAGTGAGCTGTGTCCAGAGACTGAATCCCTAGATTCAACAATTCAAAAAAAAATTTGTAAACAATAACTCTCCAAGCAAAATTAGTGACCCTGTACTGCTCACCTTCTGTTCTTTCTCTTTCTTCTAGCCCAGAATAGTTTAGTCATGTATGAACACTTCAAACACAGTGGCTATTACATTTGCCCCGTTTTAGAATTTTCTAGGCCTATTGTTTCTACCTCCTGGAGAGGTTTCTCTCTTGTAGCCACATTTGATCTCCCAAGAAACCACCCTCAAAGGATTTCTGAGTGCAGCTTTCAAGAGCTTATGAGAACTAACATTTTCCTTTTCCCTCTGCCCCCTGTGTTTCTGGTTTTCATTTGCTTAGGGTTTAGCAACTAGAGAAGGCCCCCTTAAGGTTCACAAATGGAAGCTCTACAGGAATCTTTGTGTGTGTTTATATTATTGAGGCTTTTCATGGTTCTTGTGACTCTGAAGGCACAATAGACATTCCCTATCACCAGGGCTTTTCCACCTTGTAACACTAAATGCACTTGCATGCTTTTCATGCCGCTATAAAAGTATAGGCTGGCTTTTAGAATGCCAGCTTAAGGAGACGGTCTTCCCTACGTCTGTCATGTGAAGAGATGACACTATTGAATCTGAGGTTCATCCTCTTTATCTCCATCACAGCTTTGACTAAAAGATCAAAATCTGCTTTGCAAGCTGATCTCATTCCCCCCTGATTTTCCGATACTACTTTCCAAATCCTGAGCCACATTTCTCTTTGCATACGAATTCTTTTCTTCTGCCTGCTTTTCCCACAGTCTGTGAGTAAGTAAGATCCTTCAAAATCAAACCGTTACAGGTGTCTTTTCAACAAATAGCGCTGGGGCAATTCATATGCAAGAAAAAAAAAATGAACCTTTCACCTTACTTCACACTATTCACAAAAATCAACTCCAAGAGCACCATAGACCTAAATGTTAGAGCTAAGACCACCATTAAGGAAATGAAAAGACAAGGCACAGAATGGAAGAAAATATTTGTGAAACAAGAATCTGATAAAGGACTTGTATTCAAGTTATATAAAGAACTCTTACAACTTAAGAAGAAAACAACCCAATTTTGAAAATGTGTAAAAAATTAAGCTTATACTTATCACATGACTCAGTAATTCCACTCCTAGATATTTACACAAGAGAAATGAAACATAATGTCCATACCAAGACTTGTATGTGAATGATCACAGAAGCATTATTTATCAAAGCTCCAAACTGGAAACAATTAAAATGTTTATCAACTGGTAAACAGATAAACAAAATGTAGTATAGCCCTACAGTGCAATTCTACTCAGCAATAAAATGAGCCAACTATTTATACATGTAACACCAAGGATGAATCTCAAAAACATTACACTAGTGAAAGAAGCTAGATACAAAAGACTACTTATGATAGAACTCTATATGAAATTTCTAGAAAAGGCAGGTATGGATGTGTAAAGCATGGTTGTCTAGCGGTGGGAGCTGTGATTGAACATATGGGCGTAAGGGATAAAGGGAATTTTGGGGGTGGTGCGATGCAAGTGTTCTACAACTGGATCCTGGTGTTGGTTGCACAACTGTTTAAGTTTAAGGCCTTTTATTAAGTCTCCTAAAACACATCTAAGCCTACTAAGAGTGTTTCTATACTCCAAGGACTTACTCTGGTCTTGTTTGGCTTATAGGACTCTGTTGATGCTGGAGGCTCCTCCGGGCTCTCTTATTCTGATTCCTTGAGCTGAAAGAGAAAGACCCACCAAGCACATTTTAATACCTTTTTTTCTTCTCTCTGAAAGCTCTAACACCTTGGACTTGAGCTTTCTTGTGTCCTTAATCCTTATCTGAATTCCTCTTCCCCCTTTTGAAGGTGGACCTAGGAGAGGCCTGATGTTAGAGTGAGATTAGGCAGGGTTATTTAACCAAATGGCCATAGTTATTTAACCTTTGTTCTCTCTCATCTTCCCCGCCCACCCCACTTTTTAATAGAAGTTTGTTTTCACTAAAGCTTCAGGCAGTTTTAGTGCCTTAAATATTCTTTGTTAACATAATGTTTTTAGAAAGCTGAGTGTCAGGAAGGCCCATTTTTAATTTATCAATGGCACCCTTACTCTTAATCTGCTGAAGCATACTTTACTTTTGAGGGCAGAATTAATCTTTTATCAGACGTACCATGGATGCTGTTGGTTTCATTATTTTAGGAAAATGTTCTTGGGTTGTTTCAGAATTAATGCTACCCACATACGTTTATTTTCCAATATCTATTCAGAATAGATAAGGAAGATACAAAGTAAGAGTCACCCATATTAAATTTAATGCAAAGGAGATGCAAGTCACTGCTGTTTGAAAAACTAACAGTGGTGTTTAACTTGTTGATTTCATCTTGACTGTGAGGAAGGTGAATCTGAAATTAAGCCTATGATAGAGAATATTTGGACCTTCTTTAATAAGCTACAACTTTGTGGAACAGTGAAGAAAATGTTAGCACAATTATAAGAAGATAATTTTATACATGGAAAGTTTTTGGAGGTTGAGGGAGACAAAAAAGGAATTTCAGTCTGCCCTTTGTTTAAAGCAGGGCCATGTAGAAATGCCAAAAGCTGTCAGTGTAACTTCTTTGCAGCTCTGGGGCCTCAAGTTTTCACATCCCTAAGAGTCTCTTAGGGGCTTGTTAAAAATACAGATCCTTGGGCCACACCCCTTTTGGCTCTGAGATTTTACTAAACTCCTCAGGGGATTCTAATATGTATAACATTAGGTAAGGTTCTTCAGAGAATCGGAATTAGTATGAGGTGTGTGTGTGTGTGTGTGTGTGTGTGTTTGTAAAAGAGATTATTGTAAGGAATTGGCTCATGTAACTATGGAGGCTGAGAAGTCCCCAAATCGGCAATCTGGAGACCAAGGAAAGCTGATGGTGTGCTTCTAGTCTGAGTGTGAATGCATAGGAACCAGGAGAGCCGATGATATAAGTTCCGGTGCAAGTTTGAGTCTAAAGGTAGGAAACTGGTGTCTCAACTTGAAGACAAGGCAGAGAGAGAGAAAGAGAGAGAGAGAGCAAGTTTTCCTTCACTCAACCTTTTTGTTCCATTCAGACCTTCAACGGATTGGATGTGACTAAGGTTGAGTGGTCACCTTGGGGAGAGCAATCTGCTTTACACAGCCTACTGTTTTAAATGTTAATCTCATCCAGAAACACCCTCAGACATACCCAGAATAATGTTTAATCAAATATCTGGGTGTCTCGTGGTGTAGTCAGGGTGACACATAAAATTAACCATCACACCATCCAAATCTGAGGAATTTGAAGCAGTGAGGGACAAAACCAGATTTCTTGGAAGAAACACTTGTAGGGAGAAACCTTATAAAGAGACCATTGTTGCACTTTAGGAAGCAATTGTACAATTTCAGTTATAAAAGATGTCCAGACTAGGCAAATTCATAGTGACAGAAAGTTGCCAGGGGCTGGAGGCTGGAGTTGGAATAGGGGAGTGACTGCTAATGGGCATGGTGTTTCTTCTTGGGGTGAGGAACATGTTCTGGAATTAGATATTGGTGATGGTTGTACAACTTGTGAATATGCTAAAAACCGCTTGAACTGTTCCTTTTGAAGGGGTGAATTTTGTAGTTTGTGAAGTGTATGTCAATAAAATATGTACATACCTATTGAGAGAGATGTGAAGAAGTGGAGGTAGATAGTGTTGACATCTCTGAGACATTTTCTGTGAAGAAGTAAACAAACATGGGGTGATAGAAAGGGATATGGGGTTGAGGGAGGATTTAAAAAAAAAAACCACAGGACATATTGCAGCATGTCTGTATATGGATTCAAATGATCCATTGGAAAGGGAAATATTAATGATGCAAGGTAAGGCAGAGGGAATTTGCAGTAGCCAAATCCTTAAATCCACTCACTGTAATGCCACCTTGACTTTCTTCATGTCTCTTCCCTAGGTGACAGATCAATCGGTGAAAGCATTTGCTGAGCACTGTCCTGAACTTCAGTACGTTGGCTTCATGGGTTGTTCAGTTACTTCTAAAGGAGTCATTCATCTAACCAAGGTAGGAACCGTGGCTACGTCTCCTTAGTTTTTCCGAGTATCATTCATATCAGTGCCCTAGCAATGTTATACGTACTTGAATGAGGACTACTCAGACCATTATAGAAGTGTAAGTAGTGTTTGGTAAAATTAAAATCACTTTAAGGCAACAATACAAAATCTATCCTTTCTGAAATGGTACATTCATTTAAACAAGAAACTTTTGCTTTTTCATTTGCTAATGACTATGAAATATATACATTAAAGAAACTGATATATATGACAAAACATATTGAGATGTTAATGTATTGTGTTAGAAGATATTTTGATGAAAGTGTTCACTGGTCACATATCATTAGATCTTCTGAGCATTTGGCTTTTAAGAAGTGAATATGGTCAGTGCATATGATTAAGCTGAGTATGTAACGTGAAAAGAGAAGCAAATGTATGTCAAAAATTAACTTTATAGTTCAGAGAGTTTACTTATATACCAAATATATGAAATCTCATATTTTAGCAATAATGAAAATACCAGTTCCTTTGTAATCTCTCCCTTTCAATGTGTCATCTCTGCTGTTTTTCAGAGTTCTAAAATAATTAGGAGCTAATTCTTATATACATGCTTTAGAAAACTGGTTACTATAAAATTTACTTGTGTATTATCTGAAATTCGTCAGGTCTCTTCAAGCTTACAGCTTAGCGGGATATAATGTTTTTCTTTCTTCCTAGGAAAAGAGCAAATGTTTACGAGTTACCTAGAACAATGGCAATAAGGCCCAGTGGATAGGAGTCTGGGCTCTGTTGTCAGCTCCTGTTTGAATCTTGGCTCTGCCATTTATTACCTAAGTGAGCAAATTATTTTTCAGGGAATTAATTGAAGTAATATATGCAAGATGCTTGCCTCAGTATCGAAACCACAGTAAGTGCTAAGTAAACTTTAGCTACTATTATTAAAATAGGTGCTACAATATCTAAATTGCTGGAAAATCAGAGCAAACTTTGGAAAAAAAAAAATCAAATCACTGTTCTAGTCTAGTGTATCTGAAACACAGCCTGTGGTTGTTCTGTGTCTTAAATGACTGATCAGCTTTAATTATATTTTGAGGATCAGAACCTAAAGCCAGCAGAGAGGACAGGCACGTTATTCTCTCTTATTGCTCTATCAAAACATCTCAGTGTAACCAAGACCATATGTAACCATAATTTTTTATTCATTTTCTATAACCTTGGCCTGAACATTTTGGTAGATGAATGTTTTTCTCGTCACATCTAATGCTGTTTATGGTGTAGAGTAGAAATGCCTTTGGATGAACAGCTTGTGCACAACAAGGGTTATAATGACCGTATGTGGGCTTTTTACGATCACTTGAAATTGTACTCATTAAAGACAAAACAAGACTTATTAGATCAGTAAGTGCTTCCCTGAGCATTTTGAGAGGGCCAAAAATTATTGTACACTGGTACTTAAAAGATCAGAATTATTTTCTTTGACAAAATAGTAGCGGTAGCAAATGTCAGCTTTGGAAGGCTTAATTTGCTGAGAAGATTATTGTGAAGATTATATACCAGGATTGGTGTTTTGGCCTGTTAGCAGTCAGAATCTACTGGATTCATATCAAAGCTGGTCCACAGCGTTTTAGGAGCATCTTTCTTGCTCAGCACAGTATTTGTTTTGATGAGAAGGCTGATTTGTAGCATAATATTGCTTAGTTTCATGGATTCGGGTAAAGGCAAGGTAGCATTGTAAACATGCATAACTTTTGGGAAGCTATTTTGGTTATCTTATCTCTTGAAAACCAAGGGTAGAACTCAAGTTTTAATAAAATAAAAGCTTTTTTGTTAAAATATTTGCATTCTGACAGTGTTTTTCTACTAAGACATTATACAAAGTATAATTTACATTCACAAAATGTCTGTAAATATATAAATGTTCCTAGAAAGTTGTGTTACCCTTATTATACTCATGGTATATAGCTCTAAATAATTTATTATCAACATGGTGTGTAATTCTTAAGTAAATGATTAGGGAGATATGAGATACAGAGTGTTGAGAGTTACTGGTATAAATACATTTAATTTTATATGATTTAGAAAATCTCTCCAAGTTATTACTTTACTAAGTCTCTGGCTCTAAGTTTGCTGCTACAAGCAGGTGCCATAAAATCCCTGTGCCTTAGTTTCCTCCTATGAAGAGATGTGCCTGTATTAGGTGATCTATCTCTAGAGTTTCTTACAGCCAGACAAATCTCTGAATTTGAGTCATTGGCCTGGACGGGACTGTGAGTGGCTGTCACTGAAACTAAGGAATGTCAAGTCTTTAGTAAGTTAGAAGGGAAAATTGGGGATTTGTGACATCTTAGATTGTTAAATCAAGGGCAAGAAGACAGAAGATTGGGAATAAATGGAAGAATATTGATATTCTGTTACTGTGGTCTCGTGGACTTAATTTTACTTTGATGCTCTCAGTCTTGGCTGGACTCTATTTATTGATGACACACCTTTAGTCTTCAGATAGATTCTGCTAATATCAAGCAATATTGAAGTAAGGGGCCTTCCTTCTAAGCTGCTGTGACTATGTAAATGAGAGTCCAGAAGTAGCCAAGACTGAAGGCCCACAGGTTGAGAAGATAAAGTCAGCTTTACCAGAGTGGGTTTGGAAGCAATGATAAGAACTTTTGAGGTCTCTAACAGTTGAGAATGTTAATGACTTGTATCCGGCAGAATTGAGCTTCCTCCAACACAGGTGTGTTCTTTTCACTGCCATGTACCTATTTATAAATGTAAAATATTCTTATCATGTACTTTTGCTCTCTTTCCCACTTTTCAAAAACAAGTTCAGCAAATGCAAATGTATAGTTAACCCCTAGTGACTAGTGTAGTGCCTAAATATCATTTGCCACATTAAGGACTAATAGGAACATGTCAAAGGACCCAAAAGCCAACGTGAAGTGCCTCTCACTGGCCTAAGCTGGGATGCGTTGAGCATCAAAAAGGAAAATGGCTGAAATGGATTAAAACAAATGTATAAAAGTCATGAGTTTACAATGATCTATAAAAAAAACAAAACAGAACTGGATTTCTTCTTCCAGTTAAGATGGAGTAGTGGGGACCAGATTTACTCTCTTCCCTGAAACAACCTAGAAAAACTGACAAAATATATGAAACAATGGTCTTCAAGACACTGGATATCAGACAACCAAGGACAGTGATCCCTGAGATCTAAGAAACAAACAAGAGAAGCCCTATGCTTGCCTTCGTCTAATATGTTGGAAGAGTTTCCAGCTTGTAGCACAGAGAGGGATAACCTAGGCAAAACTCAGCAGACTATCTGAGTTGAGACAGAACCGAAAGTCCAGGGAGACCAGGATAGCCAGAATTCAGAGGACAGAGTACCAGAGTGGAGAGAACTTGCATAGAAAACCCCAGAGATTGGAGTATGCTCTCCCTTCCTTGCTCATCCAGTCCTAAATAACCCATGAGTAAAGAAGAAATCAAAAGAGAAATTAGAAAGTATTTTGAACTGAATGAGAATGAAAACACAACACATCAGATTTAGTGATGCTACTAAAGTATTTACTTTAAATACCACCAAACACCTGTATAAAAAAACAAAAGGTCTCTAATCAACGACCTTAGCTTCTGCCTTATGAAACTTGAAAAAAGAAAAGCAAATTAAACTCAAAGTAAGCAGAGGAAAGGAAATTATAAAGATCAAAGTGGATATCAATGAAATGGAAAACAAAAAAAGAGAAAATTAATGAAATTAAAGGTTGGTTCTTTGATAAACTCGATAAATCTCTATTGAGACTACTTAAAAGAGAGAGAGAGAGAAATTGCCAATACCATGACTCAGAGGAGTAACATAGCTACAGATTCTCCAGATAATAAAAGGATAAAAAGCGAATATTATGGACATCTTTCTGCCTCTAAATTCAACAAGTTAGATGAAATGGAAAATTTATTTGAAAGATGCAAACTTCCAAAGCTCACTGAAGAAGAAATAGATTACTTGAATACCTCTATATCTCTTCAAGAAATTACGTCTGTTGTTAAAACCCTTCCCTCCAATGATACTCTGTGCCTAGATTGCTTCATTGGTGAATTCTACCAAATATCTGATATATTTTAAAAGCTTTATCAGTAAGAGATACATACTTGAGTATTTACTAGTGAAATGACACAATGTTAGGGATTTGCATTAAAATATTACAAAGGGATAAAAAGAAAAAAAGTGGATAGGCCACTAAAGGAGACAAAAATGGCAAAATATAGATAATTGAGCTGGGCTATAGGACATGGCGGTTCATTATATTATTCTCATTACTTATATTTGAAAATTTCCATAATAATAAAAAAGCTTTTAAGGGGTTAAAAAGTTAAAAACGTTGCTATTAATATGATAAAATCATACTGTTCAATAGCATGCTTTTTGAGAATGCATAATACCATGGAAAATGCTCAGGATAATAATTAATAATCATATACATTAATATATAATATTAATTTAAAATCAGTTGAACAGATAAGCCAATGGAATCTGAAATGTCAAAGTGACACATTATTTTTACGTATAGTTGGAGTGCAAACCTCAGAAATGCTGTGGGTTCATGAGTTTAATGCCACAGATCCATTGTGAATTGACTTAGATCAGTTCAAATGATTTCTACCAGTAGTCAGGAAGATGCTATTTTATATGACTATTAAGGATGATGGTGAAGAATTTTTGACAAAATGTTCATTTTCATTATATGCTATATAAAAATTTATATTTGTCATAACTTAAGATTGTTGATAAATTTAAAAGTTGTGTTTATTAATTAATGATATAATTCTGATGATATCTTAATTAATGATATTAATTCTGATGATACCTTAGATCTTATTGTTGCTTCAGTTTTTCAGTTTATAAACATGAACTGAATTCTTAGGATATGTCAGATATGGGTATGTTTGTTTTTGTTTTTAAATAGAGGGTTTTTTTTTTGAAGGTAACAGCTAAAAAAATGCCCAAAGTTCAGATAT